GAGGAGGAGTGACGCCTTGGGGAGGAGAAGCAGCCCTGTCCCTGCTCCTGAGCGCTGTTCAAGCGCTTTGTGGCACCCAGTGGTAGGGAGTCCCAGCCACTCCCCCTGCTGGGCTTCTGCACGCAATCACAGGGATTCCCAGGCTGGGAGGTGGGGCTGTGATCAGTGCTGAGAGCCTCTGGTTGTGTGCAGAAGCCGGGTGGGGGTGCGGGGAGTGGCTGGGAAGTGGGATGCAATTGGAGCTGGGAGCCCTCAGCTGATTGCGTCTGAGGAGGAGTGACGCCTTGGGGAGGAGAAGCAGCCCTGTCCCTGCTCCTGAGCGCTGTTCAAGCGCTTTGTGGCACCATAGTCCAGGAGAGAAGCCTGCAGGAACTTTGTGGTTGCGTTTAGGCGCCTTCCATGGGCCCTCAGTCAAAACTGACTGGGGTGGAATTTCTGCTTCTTCCCACTTGGACACCCAAAGACCTGGCTATGGGGGAGTCACCTTCCTACCCATGGTTGCTTTGGGTAGCAGGCGGCAGCTTTGCATGAGCTCTGCTGCTTCCTCCTTTGTTCCCAGCTTGGTGGCTCTTGGTAGTAGCTTGGTGTGGGTGATTGGTTTTTTTTTGGGTCAACAAATTTTTAGCCCGTGCATTCGGTATTTTTTGGGAGACCACCTGGCAACCCTAGTTGCCCTGAAGCACTTGGCATTGGAAGCACATTCCCCCTGAAGCACTTGGCATTGGACACTGTCAGAAGACAGGATACTGGGCTAGATGGTCCTTTGGTCTGACCCAGTCTGGTGATTCTGATGTTCTTACGTAGAACCTAGATATATCTGTTCCCACTATACCCAACTAGACCCCTCTCCTATCCCAGAGCTGAGCTGAGCTAGAAATCTAGATTCTGATAGGGTCTCTCTCTCTCTCTCTCTGCAGAGTTAGTAACAATGTCCGTACATTAAAATTTTAAACCTAACAGTGTCCTGTAAGTGACTTGCCACAAGATGTCAGATCATCTTATTATTAAAGCTGAGTGGATCTAATATTTGTCTTTTATATAGGAAATAGATATAGGGCTCTGGTCAGCTAACTAGTTTTTTGTCAGATAATTTTGCAGAGTTTTAAAGTGCCTAAATAGCCCCTGGAATCATGGTTAAAGTTGTCCCTCCCCCCACCAAAATCTGAAATTAGGCCCCTAATAGCTGTGTTAGGGCCCATCCTGAGATTGATGTCAGTGGCAAATGAGCACATTCAAAACCTCCCAGAATTAGGACTCAAGCTGTATTATCCAGTTCAGCAAGGTCCTTAAGTATGGAACTACCTTTAAATTATAAAGTAGTCTCATTCAAGTCCATAGGGATACTAACAAACTTAGCCACATGCTTAAGTGCCTTGCTGAATTGGAATCTGTGCCAGATTTTGTCACAGATGTTACATAGGTAATTTTAGATTCCTTATTTCTGGCATCAACTAGCCAATGCAGGGGAAATAATACATAAAAAACAAACAAACAGTGAACCAGAAAAATACTATTTAAATTAAAGCTATACATAAAGGGGCCAACATTTCTCACTGAGAGCCTTTTCTCTGATGAAAATTATAGATCAATTGATTATTTTCAAACAGTATTTTGTTAAATACGTTAGAATGTGAATTAAAGAAAAAAATCAACATAAAAAATATCCAATTTAATCACAAGTGTAAATAAGGGTAATTCCACTGATTTCTATGATAATTTGGCAAGTGGAGGGCTTGCTCTATCAGGCACATAAGATGGGAATTGAGGAACGGGTCAAATCAGAAGCACCTATGCAAACTGGACTTTATTTCTAGTAGTCAGCCTCTGGAGAAATAGAGCCAGTTGCAATGTATTTTGGGCAGATGTCAGACCAAAATCTACTTGCACTTACGTTCAGCAATCCCAAATAAAATTAATGTAGTTGTCCAATTATAACTGAGTACAGAATTGGGCTCATGGCAAGATATGGCAACTAAGCCTGGCATTTAAATGTACTCACCCACTAAGCAAATGGTTTTACCCAGTCAGTGGCCTGAGCAGATTTTTGCAAGCATACATGTTTTTGGAATAGCTAAGACGAGAAAAAGTTTTACTTTGAACAATACAGGCACTCTATTTAAGGTTGAAAAGGCCAAAGAACAATATTTTGAGATGTAGATTTTGTGCATCATAGGTTAAAGGCTGTCGTGGTCTGTGAAGTGAATTCATACTGCAAATGTGCAATGAGGACAGAGAAGTCCTAAGTTTTCTTTCACTAATACAGGAATCACTCCATTGCCGTTAATGTACAGACTCCAAATTTACAGTGGTGTGACACCAGACTCAGAACTAAACAGTCTAAATATTATAACTTTATACATTTAGTCAATGTGGTTTGCAATACCATTTTCTTCTAGTTTGCAAACCTGAAAGCACTGGTTTAGCTGTGCCAAAAGAGAGCACTACTCCCAATTTCTCTGTTTTATCTCTTTTCTGTAAGGTTTATTGAGAAGTGATCCTATAGCAGGATCATCCAGTTTTTCTGGCTCCTCTTAGCTCTTGTGAAAGTAACTTACATTTCTTACAGGTACCTTTGTATTTCAACTCCCCAAGGGGCAGGAGGGGAGCTGTAATACAACAATACCTGTAAGAAATATAAGTGTGGAGTGAAGTGCAGGGGCCTCAAGACAGGGGGTTATTGTGGGGGGTGGGGGAGGTTGCAGGAATTGGGGATGTGGGGCTCAGGGCAGGGGGTTGGTGTGGAGGGGTGTGTGCAGGGGATGGTGGAAATGCCCCTTCCCCAATTCACACCAGGGCTGCTTGCTCTTCCCCTACCTGTTTCTGTCAGGGAACGAGAGCAAAGTGCACAGCTCATCTGCAGTGAGGAATGCAGCAAACTGTGCACTTCTCCCTCGCTCCCTGACAGTGATGAAGGGGAACAGCCAGCAATGTCTCCATATGAATCTGGGCAGAGGGGAGCTTCAGCCTCCTTCCCCCCAGCCAACCTCATGATTCTTCTGTTTGGCTTTATGAGAAGTAATCCCATTCCAGGCACATCCCATTTTCCTGGCATACTCAAGCCCTTGTGTTGCTTTTAGTTATTATAAGAACAAGTTGCATACTTGAATTTGGTGGTCCTAGCTCTTACCGTTTACGAGTTCTTGAATAAACAAACACACAAACTACCTCTAAAATATATGGTAGAAAAAGATTAAACTAGACACAAGATAAAGCAGTTGAAACATTCAGTTACAATGCAAAACAAAAGCAACAAAATGAACACAGGTCTACATTTATTAATAAATACCTTTCCTACCTAATAAAGTAGGCTTCCCCTGCAAAGTTCAGATTGTGGTAAAACTGTCTGGTTTCCCAAGAATCATGATCTAAACATGTATGAAAACACCTTTGTTCAACAAGGGGTTTCCTCAGTGAATGGATCCAGAGGGCCTTTCCCTCTTTGTTATACTGTAACCAATCTTTTGTTTCTATTCAGAGACAGAGCAAACCCATCTTGCTGTAAAGTCCCTTTTTTATCTTCAAGTGGTTTTGACTGTTTGCAGTTGCATCTGATGGTTTCCCATTCAAAGTCTTGCTATTGCACAAGACTAAACAAGTAAGCCTTGCATTGCATTCTCAGTTTAACAGCGAGGGGTGATAACTCCAGCCTTGAAGAATAGGCATTAACCTTGATGACTAATTTTTGCTTCAAGTTATAAAGCAAACTTTCTATATATTACCCATACATACGTCTCGCAATGATTATGAATCTTGATAAGTTACAAGTCTTCTATAGATAACTTACATGTTTCTCTTTATTCTCTTCACCCTATAAAACATGTTTGGCGTACTGGGTTTGTCTGGGGTAAGAGCTGTCTGCAAAGAACAGGGGGCCCTTTGCCAATGGGTCATGGTGTTGCAGAGGGTTTGAGAGTCTTTGTAGCAGCAATTTACTATTTTTTGCTGTTCTTTTTCAGCCCAGCCTCTGCTTGTGACAGTAAGTCATCAAAGAAATACAGGTAATTTAAGCATGTTCTGAGGTGGATTTAAATTCTTTGGGCAACAAAACCTTCTTTATTGGCATAAGATTTTCTTTTAAAAAGCAAAATGCACAGTTTACTTATCAGAGATTAAAAAAGAAACCTTAAAAATGTGACCTCAGTTTCTCTGGCACTTCTGTAACTCGCTAAACAGACAAACAGAAACCAACACAAACCTAACTGTATAAACCAAAAAGAAAAAAAACAAACCATTTAGGGCTGTGAACTTATCCAGCAAGATTCAGTATAGAAAGGGAAAGATATTTAAAGTAACAAAAAGTCTTAGGCATTTTTCTTTTAAAGGTAGACTAATCAAATCTGTTGTTCTTTTGACTGTTTCTTAAATGTAATGAGCTTGAACTTTATGAGTTAGAACAGGGCTACTCAACTTTGGAAGCTCCGGGGGCCACAATGATACTCACAGCACATGCCGAGGGTCGCAATTTAAGTGTAGTTGTATATACATGCAAATATATGTAAATAACTTCTTTCACACTGACAGGCATGAATACAAAGATTAAGGCAAGACTACATAACACGCAGGTCCCATTTAAGTCAGTTCTGCTGATATTAATAAAATGCAATATTTACCCGATTTCCACTCATATGACAGCACTTTTAATGAGCAATGACAGTCCAGGAATTTAACTACTAAAACGCATCTCAACAGAAGACCATTATATTGACTACTTTTTTGTTTTGGCTTCACAACAATTCAGGAATTTAACTGCTAGAACACATATCAACCCAAACCACACTGTAAATACACCACAGGCTGCAAAGAAATGGGCCGCATGCGGCCCACAGGCCACATGTTGCGTAGCCCTGAGTTAGAACAGTATCACACACTATTTTTACACAAATTATGCATCAATTCAATTACTTCCTCCTGTATTTAGCATATTTTATTTCTTTTCACTGTAAATTGATTCCTAGCATTTTGGAGTCATTTTAGTTTTATCCCGATATAAAATTGAATACCTTCTGTCAAAGAGGCTTGTCCAAAGACAAAATTCCAGGATTCCCTTGGATAAAGATCTATCATTGTTATCCCAACAATACAGAAAGCATCTCTGGGCTTTTTTTTCTTTAAGTATTTCAAGATGTCCCCTGTAGGAACAACAGAAAACAACTCATTTCAGGAGAAGCATAAGTCAGCAGAAAAGAAAGCTGTGAAAGCCGTCATAGTATTATGCCAATGGTTCTCAACCAGGAGTACGTGTACCCCTGGTTGTACCCCCAAGTGTTCTAGGGGTACATCAGTTTCTCTACATATTTGCCTAGTTGTACATTAAAAGCACTAGTGAAGTCAGTTCAAATTAAAATTTCATACAATTACTTGTCCCTTATTGCTCTGCAAAGCGAACACTGAAATGCAAATACAATATTTATATTCCAATGTATTTATTATAAAATTATATGGTAAAAATGAGAATGGAAGCAATTTTTCAGTGATAGTGTGCTGTGCCACTTTTGTATTTTTATGTCTGATTTTGTAAGCAAGTGGTTTTTAAGTGAAGTGAAACCTGGGGCTAAGCCAGACAAATCAGACTCCTCAAAGGGATACTGTAGTCCAGAAAGGTTAAGAGCCATTGGATTATGTGATGTAAGTGTCCAGCTACATTATCAAACTGGAGGCGCCAATGCTGCTAACATGGTCAGATCTTGTAAACCTTCCATATACAGAATTTCCAAGGGGAGTTCTGCTTGCAGGATTGGTTTCATGATGAAATCGGGGCTTGTGAGAATGCACTAAATAAGTACACAGAAAGCTATACGGTGAAGCTACAGCATACTAGCTTACTGTGCTCACTAAGTTTCCACCTGGATCCTGATAACAGACACTCAGTGTTCCACAGTGAGCTTTGACAAAGCACTAACCCTAGATAAGTCCTTAGAGTAGATAATATTTTTCTATTCAGGGTACTGAATTAATATTTTACAAGAGTACTCAGGCTGCTTAATAAATATAGATGTTTGAATCTATTTGCAGGTGTAACCCCGTGCCCTGGTGGTCACCCCGAGTTCGGGTGACCCTCGTCCTTCCTAGCTGATCGGACTCTTGGCCCTCTGACCGATCGTAGCTCCCGGCCGACCGTGCGGGATGCCGGAGCCCGCACTGGCTCGCAGACGCCGGGAAGGGGGCTCGGGCCCTCCCTCACTCCGAGCCCCGACCCAGGGCCCTAAGACGGGGACGCTAGTCCCTAGTCAGTGGAGGGGGTTACGTTCCCCCAAACCCTCCACTCGCGGGGACCACGGCCCCGCCCTGGGTCACTTCTTCCCGGCCGGTTGTTCGGCGCGGTCCCCCCAGCAAGGGGATAGACTCACCCGGAGTCCCTGTCGCGGGTGAGGCTTCAGCCGCCGCGAGTACCGCTTCTCCTTTCCAGGGGCTTCCCGCGAGTACGTGTCTCCTCCCCAGGGTCTCCCAACAGACCCGGTTCCTCCGTCCTGCCTCCAGCACTCCTCTCCCCCGGTCCATGGTCCGGTGCCCTTTGAATGGCCCGCTCCCCTGCGGACGCCGGGGCCGGCGTGGTCCCGTGACTCCAGGCCCCGCCCCTCCCCGCGCTCTCCCCGTCGCCTCCGGTGACGTCATCGCCCGGCGCCGGCGGACA